CGCCTGCGGCATTCGAACACCGGTGCATCGCTAGATACGAATGCACCGGACGTCTTATCCTTTAGACTACGACGATTCAAATACTTTCAATTGCAGTAATACATCAACACAACACTTCCCGGCCACTTTTCCTGCACATTACCCACAACGCCCCCCACGCTGGGAACGCCGGAGGTGCATTGCAACCTCCTTTATTCAAAACAGTTCAAAGCAAGCATATCGCGAATTCAAACAGGAGGCTTTATGCAGGTGATTATCAAAATTAATTTAATGTCCTTTATTAGTGTATACATTATTCTATGATATTTGAGTGGCGTGGTGTATGTGTAGAGCACTTAGTACCATTTTATAAAATCACATAAATGCATATGTACTTATATAATTTAAAATTAAGGTAAGGTACATTTTTAACAGAAAACTACAACAATATTAAGCAATAAATGTACCAAATTGTTTTTAATTATTAATTGAAGAATTCTGGTTTCAGTTAAAAACTTATTTAATTATTTTTTTTATTGTAACTCTCCTTGGTGCGACTTATTGTTGTGTATTTTAGATTTAGTATCTTAACCTTATTGTGGTAAAAAGTAAAAAGTAATGTGGTAAAGTAAAGATAAAATGAATTTGCGTTGCTTTTTAGAAATCGTGACGCACGTAGACCAGAGCATCGGTCGAATAGTAGTAGCGTTAGCAGAAAAAGGCATACTAGATGACACCATAATAGTCTTCGCCTCAGACAACGGATCCCCTACAGTCGGCAGACTTCAGAACTGGGGTTCTAATTTACCTTTCAGAGGAACGAAATGGTCACCATGGGAAGGGGGCGTAAGAGTTCCAGCGTTCCTATGGCATTCGTCTTTAAGTCCCAGGGTTTGGAACGGTCTCATGCACATAACAGATTGGCTTCCAACATTGGTAGCAGCAGCCGGAGGGAAAGTTACCAAAAGTATAGATGGAGTAAATCAATGGGATGCTATTCTGCAAGACGGTGAATCTAAACGCAAAGAAGTGTTGATAGCTTTGGAAGATAGTAACGCAAATATGTACGCGGCGTACAGAGCTGGCGATTACAAAGTCATCGTCGGCAATGTAACCGGATTGAATAATAATGTTTATGGAACAGAGCTATTGATTAATAAATTTGCACCTCCACCTTATTTTTCCACTTTGAAATCTTGCGAAGTTGCGCAAATGTTTGAGTATACAGGACGGTATTTAGATTTTGATGTGGTGCAAAACATGAGGCAAGCGGCTACTGTTAAACAAATAGACGAAATAAAGGACGCGACTCTCTGTATTCCCTCGTTAAGTAAGTGGATTTTGCATATAAAACTTAAAAGATAAATAGATAATATTCACAATTAGTGTCATTATTTTTTAATGACTCATTAAATTTGTGGTTTAGGAATGACATTTTGTTACCATTTGTTTATTATATACTATACTTACTTTGATGAAAAACCCGCTAAACCAGCTGTTTAAGATTTCATGTCTAACTCTTGGTTTAAACATAAATATTATTCATATTAGAAATTCTGCACGAAAAAATTCAAAGTGCACACTACAAATTACAACTATGTGTCTAGCCTTTGTGTATTTTTAATATAACTTTATCTCATTTTGCATGTATACTTCTTGAATTCTATCATGCATTTAGTTGTTGAACGATTCTTGAATACTAGTAAGAACAAAAATGATCATCTGATGTCTTAAAAGCATTGTTAACTATCGGCTAATTAATTCGCATTTTAAGCACCAGCATGGGTTGTCGACTATGATGTAATCAAGTCACCATTGTAATGTTGAGGGTCATCGGCTTTACCTTTTATTTGCACGCAATGGTACTAATTACGAGTATCGCAACCTGCATACTGTAAAACTATTTTCTTGCTACTTTGCGATTGTGCGTCAATACAACTTTGTACTGTTTCATGATAATCAATAATGTTTATTTTATAACTGTTTTTATCGTAATAAATATCTTGAAAAATATTAAAAACTAGCTGACCCGGCAGAATTCGTAGTGCCTCAATCGATAAATAAAATACGTAAACTTTTGTATAAAATAAACTTAAAACAAACAAAAGGAATCCATCCGACATCAAAGGAAAAACACAATTGTTATTTTTATTTAATTCCGATTATTTTCATATTTATCTACGTTTTAAACATTCTCTGTACTTCCACAAATAATTCAAGACCAAAATTAGCCAAATCGGTCCAGCCGTTCTCGAGTTTTAGGGAGACTAACGAACAGAAATTCATTTTTATGTATATAGATGTCATGATAAAGTACTGTGAAGGGCATATAATTAATGGTTCTTAAATTATTCTAGCTCGCGGGTGTCTTTTCAATCTGCGTAAAGATCCATCGGAGAGTCACGATTTATGGCAAGAGGCAAACAAAATAGCAATGCTACTGACTAGCAGGCTGCGAGGGCTTTGGGCTATGCAACTTCGGCGAGGTCCCACTAATCTTAGAAATGAATCTGACCCAGCAAAATTTGGCTATACGTGGACTCCTTATGTCAAAAACAAAGGTATCACGAAAGTACCTGTCCAAAAAATTAGCAATTTGAATTTATCTATAGACATAAGCGGGAACAGGACTTCGACCAAAGACACGACCAAAGCTTCAGCTGTCAACTGCGATGGTATCACTGGCATTAGGAATTTTTTGTGTTTACTACAAAGTGTGTTTTGATTAGGACCTATCTAGTGGTCTTTACAGTCTTTTGTAAATTTGTGTTTAGTTTTGATTTCAATTTTTGTGATATTTTAAGTATAGTTGTATTTAGTAAGTTAAAATTTAAGCATTGTTTGCAATAAAATATTCAAAAATGAGTACCTCTATTTACTCGTAAATTTGTTTTTCACTGCACCTGCTGTTCAATTAGTTTATTCAATTCGTATTTGCTTTGCAATGAGACATAATTTATGTGAATTGTAAATATCTGTAAATTTTCATGCGTTGTCTTTAAGATACGCCTAATTATAGTTAAATTTTAATTTAGTACGGAAGCCACACGTTATTGGCCAAAATTAATTGGCAGAATAGGTACTATCATATAAGGTCAAATTAAAGTATTCATCATATCCACACAGAAATATTTTACAAGGTAAAATCAAAATAATAAAATTATAGATTTTATCGAAATCGTGTACGATACTAGGCTGCACTAAAAGTATCGGGAATGGAATATTTCCACTGTTCCTGTCATATTAAAATCTTTTTAATTGAAAACTCCTTGGTTTTTAAAATCGAATACCATTTATTTATTTAAAAAAAGATTCTCGGTCTTGTCACGAGGTTTTGTCAAACTTGTTTACTCGTTGAGAAAATGGAATTGACTCGAGAAAATTCAAGAGCAATGATTTATTATGACTTTCGAAGTGGTTTAACACAAAAACAGTGTGTTGACCGGATGATTTCTGCATTTGGTGATGAAGCCCCATCCAAAACCACAATTTATCGCTGGTTTGCTGAGTTTCAACGTGGACGTGTCAAGCTCAGTGATGATCCCCGTTAAGGTCGTCCAAAAACTGCAGTCACCCAAGAAAACGTTGATGCTGTGCGTAAGCTGATTGAGGAAGATCGACATGTAATTGGTTCCATCGTATGGAAAAATGTGTCAAATTTCGCGGAGAATACTTCGAAAAGCAATAAATACATTTTTAAATAGTAATGTTGTGTCACTTCGTTAATTCCCGAAATTTTCAGTGCCGCCCTCGTATTAATCCTGTGAAATTATAATAGATACACAATTTACATAATACGATAAAGTATAAATAATAATTATAATTACATAGAAGGACATGATATGTTATATACCCGAAAATTTAATACATTTGCGTAATAATTAGTACGAGTATAACGTTCCAGTTTGAAGGGCGGGATTCATTTTGTGATGTCTATGGGATGGTTTAACCTCCTAATACTAGGTACATTAGTAACACGGAATACCAGCTCGCTGCGATCGTGAACCGACTTTTTCTGGTTTTAGAGAGTAAGTCCACACAGGTAGGTAGGTATCTGTCTTAAATCATCAACGCAATTAAATAAAATAAAAATCCAGCCGCCGATCACCAACTGGCTGGTACGACTAGATAACCACCTTTTTCTCCGTACCTATTCACTGGTAGCCTAAGGGGCTGTTTCTGCTAGGTCTGGATGTGATAATCACTGGTCTCCGTATAAGCAACTGCTCTCAAAGAACGACTTTGAGTAACACGACCTTCAACTATGAATTCAACCAAGCAATCTATTGGAGAAATTTCCCACAGCGTAATTGCGTAATTACTGGTGGTAGGACCACTTGTGAGTCCGCTCGGGTAGGTACCACCACCCTGCCTATTTCTGCCGTGAAGCAATAATGCCTTTCGGTTTGAAGGGTGGGGCAGCCGTTGTAACTATACTGAGACCTTAGAACTTATATCTCAAGGTGGGTGGCGCATTTACATTATAGATGTCTATAGGCTCCAGTAACCACTTAACACCAGGTGGGCTGTAAGCTCGTCCAACTATCTAAGCAATAAAATAAAAAATGCTATATCCGCATCGTTCTTATTGAAGTACTCGCGTAAATTTCAGATCATATCAGCTCTCTTTTAAGACCTTGCTCAATTTAAGTTCTCAGCATCAGCGATGTCGCGAGCTTAATAGAATTGGCTAATCACAAAATATGGTCTCAAGAACGCTGTCAGGACTCTAAAATTATTTCGTGATTACATTTCGCATCAGAAAGACCTGCGATTTCGTGTTCATAATGATCACGTGTCACCTCTTTTTATAATATTGTATCTTCACACGAACGCTGTTGTTATAATACGCTTTTGAGCTACTTTCCTGTCTATGATCCTATTAATTTTGGCCTGGAACTGTTCCGCTGTTAATAACATCTCGAATAACGCCTCGTACAGTATCTAGATAATATACTAATAAAAAAAACGAATGAAACAAAGTTTCGTTTTAATTATCGCAGTTCTCGGAGATCACAAACATTCAGCCTGTTATTGTGTTAACACGTATTAACGATAGCTTAATTCAAGATCAATATATTTTAAAATTCACGCAGAATTTCTTAATCGCAAATGAATAGTTGCCTTAGCTGTTTGTTTAACAAAAAAAATGGCAGTCAAAATTTTAATTTCAGTTTAATTTATTAATAAAATATATTATATTTTAAAGCAAATTTTACTTATTGGAGTTGAGTGGAAAAAAGATAAGTTGATAGAATTGTCGTGACTGCAATTTTTTTTCCCCCAATTATTTAAAAATGTTCGTGTTTCGAGTTTTGCTGATATCCGTATTGATGCTGGTGGCTGAATCAACGAAGCGTAAATCTTCTAATATTGTTCTGATCGTTGCCGATGATTTGGTAAGATTTGATGTAGTATTTGTTTTGTTAATATGATAAGTCTATCATTTCTATCACGCAAAAGTGCTTCTTGTCTAACAAGCCAAACCGTGCTGTGAGTTCATCCTAGCATATATGTATTTAATACGTAGGTAATCTACCAGGTGGGGTGCGCTACGAGAACTTTTCTACCGATTAACTCATTAAGAACCTTTTTTTTTTATATTACGATTATATTTTTTTTTACTAAAAGAGAACCAGTTTTGAGTGTAATTAATAATAAAAAGTTGTTTTTAATAATAATTCGCGATATCTCAAGTATTAACATAACAAGATAGCCGTCTGAGGTTACTTTTACATCTTTTATAAAGTGTTTTTGCCACATACTTTAAATTCATTATCATTTTTAATTCATTAATTTACCAGACATAATTAAAACTTTTTTAATGCTTCGATTTATGGGCAAGCTAACAGCCCACCTGATGTCATTTATTTAATTTATATTATATTAAACACAGTACTAGTAGTAGTACATTCACTAACTACTTCCGCCTCACCGATCTGCAGTAGTGATATTTTTAGTTTATTTTCGCACCTACATTTATTTATTCCTTGTTCTTTTCCAGGCGATTTTTTGTTGGCCATCAATGTAGTCTATAGCGTTTATCGTTTGCTATATAAGGGCCTCAGTTACTATTTATTTTCAATTAACTCTTCTCCCAGTCTATCTTTATAAGCCTCCTTTTTCAGATTTTAGGTCCATTGTTTGTGGGTTAAAAATATACCTCCTTTTTAATATAGCAATATATATATATATTTTATGATTGAAGGATTACTGGTGGCCCGGAGGCCTTTCCAGTTTCACCAGGACAGGTGGGCGAGCAAAGGCTCAGCCAGGAGGGTGGGATTTGCTAACAGCTACCCGAGCGCCTCCGAAGAAGACCGAACAGCTCAAGAGCAGCTGCTTCGCGAATGAATCTACTACCGGATCGGAATTGCAACCCGCTGAGAAGATCTGACGAGAAGCTCAGCGAGCTGATTCATGGGTTAGGTTGCACGGCGAACTCTTTGTCGAGTTTGACGAGTACGGTTACCGGGGTCTCTAAGCCTGCTCCTAGTGTTAGAGCTGAAGGCGTCTAATGCAAAGGTTATTGGATCTGATGGATCCGTAAGGACGTGTCTAGGGCGTCAACGGTGACTGGCTCCTGCGTGATCAGGATTCGGGGAGTAGTCAGCGGCGGCAACGATAAGGCGATTATCATGACGCATAACCTTATCGAAGTACCGTTCCGACGCTGACTTCATGTATTTCTGGATAGATTCGAGGCCCAGGGCGTCGTGTAGGTCAACGTTCCTCAAGAACCACGGAGCTCTAACGGCTAACCTGCAAAAGCGGGATTGTAGAGATTGGAGGGTGTCTATGTGTGTGCGGGCCGCGTGAGCGAACACCACACTCGCGTAAGTCATGACGGGCCTTATGCAAGTTTTGTAAAGTGTCACCTTGTTCCAAAGGGACATTTTACTCCGCTTACAGATCATGGGGTAGAGTCTACCGAGAATAAACGCGACATGGTCACGCACTGATTTTATATGCGGGCGGAATGTCATCGATGCATCCAGGGTAACGCCCAGGTACTTGATCTTCCTGGCTCAGGGTATGGATTGTCTAAAGAGAGTAATCGGCGGTGTAAGATTCCGCCTCCTAATCCGGGAGGAAATCCGTGTGGAGCTTCCCCTCTGAAATAGCACCATAGCAATATATACTGACTGATGCTAGTATACAAAAAAATAACTTATTGAGTAGTTTTAAAATAGTCGTCATGTTTTGTGACTGGAAACTAGTTTTTTTATGTCTCACTCAGAACGTAAATTATGTACATTTCTAATCAGTTGTTATTGAAGTGAGCAATTTCGCTATGTCGCGCTTTTGGCTGAATAAATTGTAATGATATTAAAAACACGTTTTAATGTCGTTACGGTTTACTTTTCGACATCTTGAATACCTTATAGTACTGGTGGCCATGGGGATCACGTCGTTGTAAATGAAATTTAAGCGCGTATTTGATTAGCACAAGTGTTTAAATGAATGGAAACTTCACATAATAATTTATTATAACCGAATAGTCGGTACCGAAATAATTGTACATTTTGTTTCGAATTTTACAGTTACTAATTTTTACTTTATAAAGAGTCGAAACTTTAATAAAATTAGTATTAAATTTAATTAAATGGGATGCGGTGTTTCTGTATATTGAAGAAAAAAAAAACGTGTGGCACTCGGGAACTGCCGCGGTAAAGCTATTGCGTAGCATTTTTTATCAACTTATGCAATTATAATTAGACAATGATAATTTAATATTAAAACAATAATAAAACAAGACCACGCTATATTAAACATTAATAAAAGCAAAACTTTAACTGTCCCCTTCACACTCATAAGCTAGACCGCGCGAGAAAGAGATGGGCAGACTTTTCATGATGCACATGCAGTGTGACGTCACGCCACGCGCTTATTCACAAACACTACACAAGCGCAACGCGAGCTACATGGTAGGCGGAGTGAGGGGTGTAAGGTTTTTTTCGTTACGGAATTTCATGATTCGGTCGCTGCGCTCAAGGCCCGCGATAAAATCTATGCAATAGCTTAAAAATTAAAGAGTGTAACTAGTTATTTTCTGTTGGTAAGTCTGTTTATTTGTCCGCGCATAACTTCGGAGCTACTTTTAATGTAGGTTTCACAGGTTTGACAGGTATAGAGGGACCAATATGTGGCAAGCTTGCTTGGTTCTTCCATTCCGATAGAAGCACCCGTCACGTGCGGGCGTGCTCATCGACCACTCGATCGCCCGGCCTTTGTTCGCCCGGTTTTTGTTAGACAAAGTTTTTTCTCGGAAGTTTTTATTTGTTTTGTTTCTTTTTGTTTTTTTTTCTATTTTGTTGTTTTTTTCTTTGTCCTGTAGTAATTGCGCCGCGTTGCCACTTGAGTTCAGTAGAACCGCTAAGTTCCGAGATGTTGGGGCCTTGGGGAGTATTTTTAAGACCCGGGGCAGCCCCACCTGGGAACTCAGCTATCATGGACGCTGTATTTGCGGAATTCCTCCGGCTTCGCCACCCAAAGCTCATTTCCGAGTTTCTGGCCTTCAAAGCCGATCACTCCGCGAGCCCTCTGGTGGACTCCACCGTGCTCGCTCCACCTGCGTCACCTGTACCTGCGTGAAAAGCTTCTGCATCGTACACCGCAGCCTCCGTCGTGCCTGCCGCTCCCACGTCGCATATACTGGCGCGTAAAGCTTCTGCGTCGTCCGTCGTTGCCAGCGTTCCTCCCGCGCGATCATCTGCGGCCTCCATCGTGCTCGACATCCTCGCGCCCTCTAAAGCACCTGCGCCTGCCTCCTCGTCTTCTGACTCTGACTAGGACATGGAGGTCAACCTCGCCCTTGCCTCATTGACGGAAGGATTCATCCTCGTACAAAAGGGTAAGAAGCGCGACGCGGATTCTCGAGCTCGGTTTTTCGGTGGCACAAAATAAAACCCAGACCCCTCCCCCGATAATCCTTCAAGAGCAGGCAGTTTGCGAGTTTCCCTGGCCCTTAAGGCCAAAAAAATTAATTTTACAAGTGCCCGTATCCTCGCGAACGGCATACAAATTAAGATTCAAACATTCGACGACCATAGGGCCCTCTTTTCTTACTTCCGTAAGGAGCGTATAAGTTTGCATACGTATACGCTTCAGGAGGAGCGCGAACTCAGTGCCGTCCGTCATACGTGGCATCCCGAAAGAGTTGGATGCCGAGCTCGTCAACACACAAGCCGCGGAAGAGATCCATATAACATGGTTCTCGTCACCCTCCATCCTACCACCGAGGGTAAGCAAATGTTTAACATCCGAACGGTCTGTAGGCTTTCCGGAATCACCGTCTAAACCCCACACAAGAAAGGTACACCTAGCCAGTGCCATAACTGTCAATTATACGGTCATTCTTCCCGTAACGAGTTAAGTGTTTGGGTGATCACGCCACGGCCCTATGCACTCGCGATCAAAAAACCGCAACGGAACCGCTTCGTCCTGTGCTGTACACAGGGTCACCCCGCGAATTACCGTGGATGCCCCCGAGCCCCTAAAATAAATCGCCGCGTCGCCCGCCAAAACCGCCTCCGAGCTTCCGGCCTAGACATCAAAGCCATAGCACCCTCTGTGCCGAAGGCTAGGCCTGCTTTCGTGCCGGTGCCGGTGCCCAGCGTCTCGGCCTAGGCTAAGCCGTTGCCGTATACAAACACGGCTGCAACTCTGTCCCTCGCGATTCGTCCCGCCCCCGCGATATGTCCCTCCCCCGCGACTCGTCCCTCTCCTGCGACTTGCCCTCCGACCGCGTCCGACAATCTCGCTTTAGCGATCGACTTCTTTCAGTCGATCAACTTTGAGCGCGTTAACGCTTTGGGCGACGCCATCCGCGAGGCCTCCACTGCACAACACTTCATCGCCGTTGTGCAGGAATACGCCGACGTATACGCGTCGTCAAATACGTACGTTCTCCTCTCACTCCACATCAATGGCGTACATAAGTAAAATAAAGCCCCTATCCGTAAGGACTGGACCTGGGTCTCGTCCAGAATTAATCCAGAAATTCATGAAGTCAGCGTCGGAACGGAACTTTGATAAGGCTATGCGTCATGATAATCGCCTTATCGTTGCCGCCGCTGACTACTCCTCGAATCCTGATCACGTAGGAGCCAGTCACCGTCGACGCCCTAGACACGTCCTTACGTATCCATCAGACCCAATAACCTCCTTCCTAACCCTGCAATCATAAAAAAAAAGATTTTTCCATTAAAATACTCGTAGTATGTTGCGAAAAAGATATCGATCGTCATTTGAAGTTTTTCGTGTTCTAACTGTATACTAACCGTTGTTAAAAGTCATATAGCTAATAATATTCATAATATGAAAATAAACCTGTTTGTTAAGTTTTCACGCCTAAACGAAGTACTCGAAACACTTAAAATAGATAATATGTATGAGCAATAAAGAGTTTAATCGTTGCACGAGTAATTTATTAGGAACTTGAATTCTATTTGATTCTATTTGTCAATATGTCTTCCAAATTCGTGTTAGTAGAGTAGTTTTCGAAGTCTTCGTGGCCTAAAGGATAAGACGTCCATTGCATTCGTATGTAGCGATGCACCGGTGTTCGAATCCCGCAGGCGGGTACCAATTTTTCTAATGAAATACGTACTCAACAAATGTTCACGATTGACTTCCACGGTGAAGGAATAACATCGTGTAATAAAAAACAAACCCGCAAAATTATAACTTGCGTAATCACTGGTAGTAGGACCTCTTGGAAATCCGCACAGGTAGGTAGCACCACCCCGCATATTTCCGCCGTGAAGCAGTAATGCGTTTCGGTTGGAAGGGTGGGATAGCCGTTGTAACTATACTGTGACCTTAGAACTTATATCTCGAGGTGGGTGGCGCATTTACGTTGTAGATGTCTATGGGCTCCAGTAACCACTTAACATCAGGTGGGCTGTGAGCTCGTACACAGATTTAAGCAATAAAAAAAAAAGTATTAAAAAATCCCTAATATTCTTATGTGAGATTTTATGTATATAAATAAATTCGATTGAGATTTGGTAAAGTATTTGCTAATTTAAGTCACTGTGCCACAAGGACACGGTTCGAGGAATGTCAACCGCTAACGGTTTATCGATTCACAAGGTTAATGTATTTTTAATTGCAAAGATAATACATGTGTTCAAGGTCCACCTGATTATAAGTGGCAACTGTAGCCCACTAACCTATATTCAGAGAATGGAGATCGAGTTCAATATGAGAAACAAGGTCAAGATCATCTTCTGCACTATGAAGATTTTGCTTCTTCCTGTTTTAGGTGGTGTTATTTATTTATATATTAATACGTAAAGCAAAAACTTTGTACCCCTTTTTACGGAAATTGCGCTGACGAAGGAGTATGAAATTTCCCACACTTATACTTTATGTAGGGAAGGAGTGCAGAATGCTAATCTTTTCTTAAAATTATGCATAAATAATACCTACATCAAATCAATAAAGGAAACATTACACACACTACATAATGTATTTGACACACACACGCATTTAAACTGTTTTGTTTTTGTTTGTCTGTGGTCAAATTGAGAATAGATTAATATTGTTTGTCTATAATATTTTTTTTCTATAGTATTGGCGAAATCTGTGATTGTGAATTAAGTCGAATTGAATCATGAACAGTCCAATTAACTCCAACCAAAAAAATACTATATTGCATATACAGTTTTTTTTCTTAAGTTACTTTTAAAAATTTACAAAATAAAAGTGTATTTTTTCTCGCTTTTCTCGCCCAAAATCTATTATGTTCTATCCTCATAAACATATATTTTGGTCAGAGATCACATTTAGTTACTTGAATTTTTACTCTGTTGTCCTTTTCATACTTTTGTATTTTCAGTTTTTTTCTCATTATTGCATTCAGACTTGACTATTTCGCATTATTATTATGACGTATAGTGTAGATTATATCAATTTTTTTGTATTATATCTAACTCAGCATGTTATAGGTATGAACAATATATGTATATACTTCTGATTTTGTTCATTCATGGAAAAGTTTGTCATCGAATTTTGGCAATGTCAAATAGTTTCATTGTTACATTATATGATCCGATAATTACAATGAATGCTTCAAAATATGGTCGTTAAAACTAAATTATGTAAGATTTAAGAACTGGGTTGTAGTTTTCGATATCCAGATGTTAGTGTTCCAATAAACACACACCGTGTAAAATCATGTAAAATGCTATTATACAAAAGCTACAGTATAAGGAAAACACAGATATAACTAATACAAAAAAAAGTATGAAGCTAACACGTGAGGTTGAGCATATTTCTATATATACATACATACATGTGTAAGATACGCTAATATTTCAAATAACGTAACAGTTAGGAAGAAGATTAAATAAATTGATTCTACATGATTGGCAGATGATTAAACGGTTTAAAAGTCAAGGCTATGTGCAGATAAAGACTACGCGTCGACGATCTTTGCAATAACATATTATATAAGTGTTAGAAATTCCATAGTTGTATATTGTGAGTCTAATCTATCTATATATATAAAAATGAATTGCTGTTCGTTAGTCTCGCTAAAACTCGAGAACGGCTAGACCGATTTGGCTAATTTTGGTCTTGAATTATTTGTGGAAGTCCAGAGAAGGTTTAAAAGGTAGATAAATATGAAAATGCTTGAAATTAAATAAAAATTACGATTTTGTTTTCTTTGATGTGTCCTCCGTAGGACGGATTCCATTTGTTTGTTTTAAGTTTATTTTATGCAAGAGTTTAAGGTCTTTTATTTATCGATTGAGGCACTACGAAGTCTGCCGGGTCAGCTAGTAGATAATACATTTTTTTGTTACAGGGTTGGAATGACATTAGTTTTCACGGTTCAAATCAAATTTTGACACCAAATATTGATTTACTATCTTTATCAGGAAAAGGTCTCGGACGATACTACAGTCACTGTATATGTACTCCTTCCAGATCGGCATTAATGACTGGCAAATATGCGCACAGAATAGGTATTTTTTTTTCAAATTCGGTTTTTTAAATTAATAACTTTAAATTAATGAAAATTTGAATCCCGAGCTATTTCAATCAATTACGCTATCAATTAGAATAGATTTACAATTTATTTACTTTATTTCTTATAGTACTGGTTCATTATTTTGGCATGTACTTACTGTCTTTGGAATATATTTTTATGTACCAATCACAGGTATGCAAGGGTTTCCACTTAGCAACAGCGAGGACAGAGGATTGCCAACTAATGAAAAGATTCTACCCCAATATCTAAAAGAATTGGGTTACTCCACGCATTTGGTGGGAAAATGGCATATCGGCGAATCACGAACTGAATTTTTACCGACTGAGAGAGGGTTCGACAGTCATTTTGGACACAGAGGGGGATTCCTTGATTACTACGAATACACATTGGATGAAAAGGTAATAAAAATCCAATAAAAGCAGTTAGCATGTCATATGATGTTGTCATGTATGTGATTCGTAAAGCCTCGCGATAAATATTAATTGATAAAGATAATAAGGCGACCTTATTAAAATAACAATTATCATATAATCACCTTTGCTGTGGTTAATGAGTATGACAATACTTAAGGAACCAAACTCAAATTAAGCCGTTGGGTAACTGCTTTTGGTTACCACTCTGATGGGTTGTATGTTCGTCGGCCTCTAATGGCAATAAAGAAAACATTATTCAAATAGATTAATAAAAAAAACATTATTCAAATACATTAATAAAAAAAACATTATCTAAATCCATGTTATGTTTTATGCGATGACCTTTTTTTGTTTCAGTGGGCGACTGGTACTGTGACAGGCTACGGTCTGTTTAAAAATAAAACCGCCGCTTGGGGTGTCGAAGGATATCTCACTGATGTTTATACAGAAGAGGCCAAGAAAGGTAGGTATTATTTAAATAACGATCGCAGCGAAAATTCGTTGAGTTTGAGTGAACTGCAAAATAAGGAGCTCAAATCTAATTCATGAAGCTCCCTGAAGTATTTATTAATTTAACGCAATGAAAAAACCAATGAGTTAACAATATTAGCATTTCACAGTATAATATAATTTACAGAATCATTGCGTTTTGTAGTTGTTTTTTAAATTGTAAAAGAGAGATTGAGTAATCACTTATCTTTCCCGCATCGTCATTTTAAGTAATTGAAAGTTTAACTATTACTGAAAATTGAATAATGAAAATTCATCCTGAATATTTTAGTAATAAAAAATCACGATAAAAAAAAGCCACTTTTCCTGATGCTGGCCCACAATGCACCACACTCCGCCAATGAGCCGGCTATTGTGCAGGCGCCGCCTGAGGACGTGCGTGCAATGAAACATGTAGAGAAAACTGGTAGACGGATTTTTGCAGGTAATTTACAAAGCTTGAAAACGAGCCATTAGGCTTAAGGGTTGCTGCGGTGAGTGCGGCACAATGTAAGCTGTTGTAATCACGTTTCGCGTTAAGTATATGAATAATAATTACGCTTTACGTATTATTAGAGAATATGGGGAGTCATAATTTGATACTATTATTATTAAGAAACAGCATCATCCTGGTATAAAACTGCTGGCTGGAAAGCTGGATGTTTCAAAAGTTGAATGGAAGAGCTTTTTCTGACAATTTTTTTATTGGTTAGATGTGTGAACGAGCTCACAGCCCACTTGGTGTTAAGTGGTTACTGGAGCCCATAGACATCCACAACGTAAATGCGCCACCCACCTCGAGATATAAGTTCTAAGGTCTCAGTATAGTTACAGCGGCTACCCCCACTCTTCGAACCGAAACGCATTACTGCTTCACGGCGGAAATAGGCGGGGTGGTATCTAGCCGTGCGGACTCCCAGGAGATCCTACCACCAGTGATTACGCAAATTATAATTTTTGCGGGTTTGATTTTTATTACACGATGTTATTCCTTCACCGTGGAAGTCAAGAACATTTGTTGAGTACGTATTTCATTAGAAAAATTGGTACACGCCTGCGGGATTCGAACACCGTTGCATCGCTAGATACGAATGCACCGGACGTCTACCTTTTAGGCCACAACGACTTCAAAACTTCGACTTTTCTGTAAAATTTGTCTTAATTTGTATTCACGTAGGTAATAAAATAAAAGAGAACTTATGCTTATCATATTATAACATTTGTATGCATCTTGATTACCGGTTATACTCGTATGGATATCACTCCATTGTTATTTTTTTGATGTTTTGTAGTTAATATGAATTTTTGTACTTAATTTCGCTTTGTCTTGGATGTTTTGGAAGAGAACTCGTTAATAAGTTAAGATCGATTTCTACATTCTCGAAAATAAGGAGTAATTTTACCGTCATTGTATTTACGGTGCTTAATAAAATACCTTATATTTTCAGCGATGATGAAGAAACTGGATGATGGTATAGGTGAAGTCGTAGAGGCACTTCACAACAAAGGCATCCTCGATAATACTGTTATTGTTTTCATTGCGGATAACGGAGGAATGACTTCAGGTTTTAAAATGAATTATGCATCTAATTGGCCATTGAGGGGTCTGAAAATGACCCCATTTGAGGGGGGCGTGAGAGTACCAGGACTAATATGGAGTCAAGATTTTAAAACTCCGCAAAACCTCTGGAATGGTTACATACACGTTACAGATTGGCTTCCGATTTTCATGAATATTGCTGGTGCAGCACCACCAAATAATATTAGTGGAATAGATTTATGGAATAGTATTAAAGCTAATGAAGATTCAAGTCGACAGGAAATGTACGAAATCGATGATAGAACTGGTTTTGCGTCTGTTATATACGGTGATTTTAAACTTGTAACTGGACATGTTACGGAAGAATACAGTGATTATGAAGGAGGCGATCTCCGAGGTATTATCGGAGAGCCTCCGTCATACAATGATGCTATTGAAAAAAGTAAAGTTTATGGTGTTTTGAGAAAGATCGGAAAACCTGTGAAAAAGATCGATTACAATTTAAGAAAACAAATCGAAGTAAAATGTGATCGTAAAGATACTGATGAAATTTGTTATCCCAATAAAGGTAGGTTTCGTTAAAAATGCAATTCTGATAAAATCATTCTAGATATTAATTTAAAATTAATAAGGAAGGCATTGTTAGAGTTGTTAATTATTATTTAAAAAAAAAAAACTACAATTTCATGTTCCTTGTTCTCTGCTGCTTCTTTTCAAAGATACCGCAAACTGGCAATAATATCACTCAAGTTTCACGTCCATTATGCATTTTCATTGCTAATGATAACAAAATTTAATACAATACATACTGTATTTCGCACGTCTGTATTTATACATCAAAAACGATGAATTTCTACGTTTCGACTTAGGCCGATGTGGGCTTCGATATTTATTTAATGATTTTAATGACTATAACAATGTATCGTCATCGCCTTTTCTTATGCCAACGTAATAAATTGTAAATTTAAGACTTTGGAACAACTTTGAAAATAATAGGTAAACTTTTATTCTTCAGGAGTAGGTCACTATCTTGCGGAGCTTTATTACTGACGCTCGTGGATAATTCTATTTCTATTATGTAAACAAATTTATACTATTTCAGATAAAATTTGTCTTTACAACATAAAAGAAGATCCTTGTGAAACAAGAGATGTTTCTAAAGAAAATCCAGACATTGTTGTAAACATGTTACAACTTTTGAAAGTTGAATTAACTAAAACTGTTCCTCGAACGGATCCGCCACTAGCTAGTGACCCGAGGTCATTGCCCAGTTTACATAACAATACGTGGGATACATTTATTGATTAAATTGATTACAAAAATTATCGTCTTTCATTTTTCTACTCTTTTTGGAGTTTACTCCTTAAGAATCGATTTACATATATAGGCCCGGGGTATGAAAATTATGGGGACCAAAATCGTACTAGAGAGTATAGCATGTCACACGAAATGCGTTATGCGCCTGATTGGCCATGGTGATGCGTGCGCGCGCCAATCAGGAGCCAACGCGCGGCCGCGTTATCGCAGGTGACGCCGGGCTGCTGCGCCGGCAGTCCGCCACAAAGCCTCGTACTGATCGCGCGTTTCTCTCATTATTGTATTTTCATATATTTGTTAGTCGTTTGTTTTGTGTCTCGTTAATTTGTTAATAATCTGTAGTGTATCGTGTTGTCGTAATATAGAACTATTTCTCGTATTGTTTCGTTTAATTTACCGACATCGTTTTGCTTGTGGCCGGACGCCGTTCGGGTTCGATTCCTGAACGTATCAACTGTTAGTGGGTTGATACCCGAATATAACCCGCTACAAATCATTTATTAATAAAGCTTTTTTAATAAATGCATATTTTACTGTATTCAACTGACACAAATTTATATTTATATCCAGTAAACTCCAGTCGTGCGTCGGAGCGGACACACACACTTTTTTTTTATTATATGTATTCATGTATATGTCTAGCTACCATACCCGACGCCGTATTTTAAATTAGTAGAAAACAACACGATATTTATTTATAAATCTCTATAGTTATATGTTGATAATGTACTATACTTTGTTGTACTCCAAAGTAATTCATAAAAATATGATACGCAATAACAAATAACAAACATTGGGCGTCTTATTGCTTAAAGCAATTTTTTTAGGTAACCGTTATATGGATAAGAATAAATACTGTAAAAATATGACTTGCACTATGCTTTCAATCGTTCACCCCGATGAAAGTTAAAGACCTAATCAAAGACCTACGTCCTCCCAAGGCTCCCGGTTCCGACAGTGTATCTAACCGCGTTCTTAAGCTTCTACCCACCCAACGCATCATGATGTTGGTATCTATTTTCAGTGCCGCTATGACGAACTGTGTCTTTCCCGTGGTGTTTGTTATTTTTTTATTGCTTAGATTGGTGGACGAGCTCATAGCTCACCTGATTTTGAGTGGTTACTGGAGCCCATAGACATCTACAACGTAAATGCGCCACCCACCTTGAGATATAAGTTCTAAGATCTCAGTATAGTTACAATGGCTGCCCCACCCTTCAAACCAACACGCATTACTGCTTCACGGCAAAAATAGGCAGGGTGATGGAACCTACCCGCGCGAACTCACAAGAGGTCCTACCACCAGTAAAGAAAGAAGGGTGTAGAAAGGTATGGAAAGAAGTGAACGTTATCGGCATACATGAACCTGGTAAACCAAAAAATCTTCCGACGAGCTACCACCCGATTAGCCTCCTCATGTCTCTAGCTGTATGAGCGTCTGCTCCACAAACGCCTCGAAGACTTCGTCTCATCCAAGGGCAATCTCATTGATGAACAATTCGGATTCCGCGCCAATCACTAATGCGTACAACAAGTGCACCACCTGACGGAGTACATTCTCGTAGGGCTTAACCTTAACGCAAAAGCATTCGACAAAGGGTGGCACAACGGTTTGATTTTCATACTATTCAACATGGGCGTGCCGGACAGCCTCGTTCTCATCATACGGGACTTCTTGTCGAACCGCTCTTTTCTTTATCCAGTCGAAGGAAACCGCTCCGTGCAACCTCTCACGGTTGGAGTCCCGCATGGCTCCGTCCTCTCGTCGCTCCTATTTAGTATATTAATCAACGACATTACCCGGTCACCGCCGACCCAGTTAGTCTTATTCGCCGACGACACAATCGTTTACAACTCGGGTAGAACAAGTCCCTAATCGCGAGTAAGCTCTAGAGCGCAGCCCTAACCTTCAGACAGTGGTTTTGAAAATGGCGCATAGATATCAACCCAACGAACGTCAGGGCTATTTCAAAGGGAAACTCAACGCGTAATTTCGCCCACATTAGGAGGAGAAATATCACACCCCCGATCACCCTCTTCAGCCCTGGGCCAGGAAGGTCAAATACCTAGGAGTCACCCTGGATCCATCCATGACATTCCACTCGCATATAAAATCAGTCCGCGACCGTGTCACATTTATTCTCGGCAGATTCTACCCCCTGATCCGTAAGCGGAGTAAAATGTCCCTTCGGGACAAGGTAACATTTTATAAAACTTGCATATGCCCGTCATGACTTACGCGAGTGTGATGTTCGCTCACGCAGTCCGTACACACATAGACACCCTCCAATCCCTATAATCCTGCTTTTGCAGGTTAGTCGTCGGATCTCGCTGGTTCGTGAGGAACGTTGACCTATACAACGGCCTGTGTCTCGAAGCAATCCGGAAACACGTGAAGTCAGCGTCGGAACGGTACTTCGATAAGGCTATCCGTCATGATAATCGCCTTATCGTTGCCGCTGCTAACTATTCCCAGAATACTGATCACGCCGGAACCAATCACTGTCGACGCCCACCCTAGACACGTCCTTACGGATCCATCAGATCCAATAACTCTTCCATTAGACGCCTTTAATTCGAACACTAGGAGCAGGCTTCGGGTAAAAAGACTGACGTGCAATCTAACCCAAACATATCCCGCTGAGTTTCTTGCCGGATTTTCTCAGCGGGTCGCGGTTCAGCTATGATTCGGTAGTAGATTCATTTGGGAAGCAATTGCTATTGAGTTGTTAGGTCTCCTTCGGAGGAACTCAGGTAGCTGTTAGCAAATCTCACCCCTCCTGGCTGAGCCCTTGCTCACCCAGCTGTCTTGGTGAAACTGGAAAGGCTTCCAGGCCACCAGTAATTCCTCAATCCAAAAAAGTAATTTCAATTGAAATTTAAAAAGTTTGATGTATAACCTCACACCCGGTTTAATTATTGCAAATATATCTATCTATATACATCTTTACTGCTCTACTATATCTTACAGTGATCAACATTTTGCGTGTTGGTGCAGATTCCAACCTAGTGGATCTTCATTTAAAGGGGGTCACATCGAATCTTTTCAGAAAAGTAAATTTCAGTAAATTATCGTCGGACCAAATAGTGGAGGAACTGGGGATACCTATCAGCGACGCACTCCACCGGCCTGCAGGGCGGGATCGATGGAGACAGTTGGTTGACGAAATCGGACGGAGTCACGATCCTCAGCAGTGAGGAACCGATCGAAGAGAGAGAGAGAGAGTATATTTTTTATGGTTTTCTCTATGCTGTTGCATTACTGAAATTAATATAATTGTATACAGTTGTTATTTTAATAATAATTTAAAAAAAAATGCATTTTATTTTTAGGCTATTTCCAATGAATGTTACGATTTGCTATACAAACAATTTTTTTAACATGTTCTTACCACGTTTTTTTAATTTAACGTGTTCCAGATATTTCACCATGTTTTGCAGTGGTGTCACTGGTGTCACCACGCATTAACCAATAATTGCGGGCACTATGTTACGAGCAGACAAATTTGTCTAACCTTTTTATTCTTTCGTAATGATTGTGCTTGCAAAAGCACTTAAAACGCCGAAATGTCGGGTACTCACTAAATTTAATAATAATCGTAGTTAAATAAATGTTATTGTTGACTGTACACGAACTCCAATTATGTAAGGAGAGGCTCACTATACTATTTGATAGTGTTACATAAAACGAATGAGATAACAGATTACGAAGTGTGCAGACATAATGTTGGCTGCTGTTGTGGTCACACGTAAAATACATACTTATATCGGGCTACATTCTAATACTTTTTTTTAAATATAACTGGTTTTCATTATTCAACAATGTTTTGTGATTTAAATGAGAAACAGCAAAAGTGAAGTGAAATGGTGAAAATAATTTGTGTTGAGTGACCTAGATTTTTTTTTGTAAAATTTCTAGTCATTTGTCATTTGTCATTTGATCATAAGATTTATTTGGAAAATATAAATAAATATAAGTAGCAGTAGTACGAAATGTATAACATCATTCTATTCTTGATACTGAATTGGATAGTTAACGTTTCGACTCAACTAAAATCTCCTAATATAGTTCTTATCGTTGCCGATGATTTGGTAAGTGTGAAATTAAATTAAGATTATCCGTTCGAAGATTTACGAGCATGCTGCTGAGCTGATGGTAAGTGGTCATTGTGGCAACAAGATACAAACGCTGTGAGCGACATGGCCTACTGCTGTAAAATCTATACTTCCTTTAAAGTGTGTAAAATCTTGAGAGAATACCGAATACTTCTGTAAAGGCACTAAGTATTCGTTTTTTAAGAGATTCTAGGTAGGTATTATCGACGAACTCCACAGTGCAGACTGCGATGTGCAGACTCTAGACTGCGATGGTAAAAAAAGGAACTTAGTAAAAAGAGGATATTTTTACTGGTGGTAGGACCTCTCGTGAGTCCGCGCGGGTAGGTACCACCGCCCTGCCTATTTCTGCCGTGAAGCAGTAATGGGTTTCGGTCTGAAGGGTAGGGCAGCCGTTGTAACTATACTGAAATCTTAGAGCTTATATCTCAAGATGGGTGGCTAATTTACGTTGTAGATGTCTATAGGCTCCAGTAACCACTTAACACCAGGTGGGCTGTGAGCTTGTCCACCTATCTAAGAAATAAATAAATAAAATCAAACAGTTTCAAATCTTATCTTAGAAAATATGACTGGGAATATCAAAATACAATACACAGTTTTTCCGCTGTCTAAATCTGCTATTACCGAAGATTCAGGCGGTTCGTTTTTGAAGGTAGTAGAATGCAAGAAGCTGGTATTTGTGACCCAGAGCCCAGATATGAAATTATTGTTTTTTTTTAAGGTTTAAAAATGTAAAAACCGCGAACAAAAATGCACATAAGTATGTCGGATTTTCATTTTCTGTAAAACTTAATTCCTGCTGATTGTTTCCCGAAACTTTCGTAGTGAAAAAGGGCTCTAAAAAGCAATGGTATGACCTCAACGATACATAGGTCCACTGAGCACCTACTCTACAAACAGATCGAGTCGCGCGTAGAGTACCTACCACATCTAAGAGTTAAACACTAAAAAGTTTTAAGTGAATCAAAGAGATCCTCAGAAAGTATTTTGACACCGGTGAGCGTTTATCTGCGTTAAATAACCTGTTAATCAACCTGAGTGATACGCGTCATCAGATTTTTCCTTTTTATGACATTATGCATTGCATACGTGTGGGCCTGATAGTCTTGCATAGACATAAATTTCTAAGCCATCGGCAATGGACCGAGATATCTTCTATCGAGATGTTCTTATTTCCAAATATGATGTAACAATAATATGAGTCATTGAAGCGGTGTTTGGATATAGATGAGCAATAGAGAATATAACATATTTCCAAAGGTAGAAGAAGTCTGGCAATTATTTGCTTAGTCCCTCAAAAAGTAATAAGATATGTCATCTTGTAAATCTTATTGTCTAATTATATTATTTCAAAAACTAGGGATGGGACGACGTAAGTTTTCATGGATCAGACCAAATATTGACTCCGAACATCGATCTTTTGGCATACTCTGGAAAGGCCTTGGGACGCTACTATACTCACTGTATTTGTACACCATCGAGGGCAGCTCTCTTGACCGGAAAATATGCACATCGAATCGGTAACTGGTTTTGATTATTATCATAGCCGTAAGCTAAAAAATTAAAAAAGAATGTTGAAGGGAAATGTGAGGCCACGAAATACTATCCTACCTATATAACATTTCTATAGAACATTAATTTAATTTTTTTATTTTTTATTTTTATTGTTTTTTTTTTGTAAGTTTGTATATGCAGTTTTTTGTTTTCTTTGCCTTAATTTAATATTAGTTAACGATATTTTTATCTTAAGCACAAACGCTCTTAAGCAAGATGTGTTCACACCCAAAAGGGTGAATTCTATAATGTATTATTTTATGTAAATAAGTTAAATGTTTATGTGTGCAGATTTCATCCAGTTGTGAGAAACTAATAAAAAAAAATATGCCAATGATGTGAACCACATCGAAAAGTAGCATAGCCAATTTTAAGACTTCTATATTATGTCTTAGCACGAGTGAGGTTGAGGTATGGTTAGTGATTTTGGTTGCGCGATCGTAAGCTAAATGTAGTTTATACATTACATACTTGAATATTTGAAAGGACCGGCACATGAAAGTGTGATAACAAACCAAAAAGCTTATCATAGTATTTCACAATTTTAAATAAATTTTCAATTAATTTAAGTATACATATTAGTTGAATGAAAACTTTTTTTACCACAATTTTTACAACAATCTGTTCTCTTGCTTATTTTAGGAATGCAGGGATATCCCTTAACGAATAGTGAAGACAGAGGTTTGCCGACGACGGAAAAAATATTGCCACAATATTTGAAAGAGTTGGGGTACTCGACTCATTTGGTTGGAAAGTGGCATGTTGGACAGTCACGAACTGAATATTTACCAATGCAGAGAGGTTTCGACAGTCACTTCGGACACAGAGGTGGATATGTAGACTACTATGAGTACACATTAGACGAAACGGTAATTTTTGGATTGAGTTCATTTAAAACTAATTTGGTAGGTTTGCCCTAGGGTTGCTTGCAGAAGAAGAGTTTTATTTGTTAGGAGTGAGGATAGTTATTGGAGAACATACATATTTATCTCATTGTAAAACTCACCACCCAACATTTATGAACAAAGCTTATATTGTTTTATAATAGCTACTATTCTTCTAACCAGTCTAAATTATAAAAGGAAATGAATGTCTATCCATCTGTACTACTAATAAGAACGTAATGGAAGATATTGCGGCAAAATAATAGGCCGGGGAAAAAGTTTTTTCGCATATTTTAAGAAAATTCACAAAAACATTTAATATATTTTATTTACATTTAACTAAGGTATGTCGATACCATTTTGTTCGATAACTTTTTGCCATCTTGTAGGTAGAGACGTGCTCCCATTGCTATAGAAATTTTTGGGCTTCTGATCAAAATACCGCGACAGTTGGTTTTGGCAGTCTCGTGATGTTAACCTGATACTGCCTAAAGAATTCTGAAGAAACCGAAACAGGTGGAAATCTGAAGGTGAAAGGTCAGAAATATACGGCGGATGCATTAACATCTCCCAGTCAAGCTCTCTTAATTTTTGCTGAGTGGCTAAATATGTGTGAAATATCGAGCTTTATTGTGTAACCAGTTTTTTTCAAATGCACCAAAACTGTTTTGTGGTCTATTCCCAGTTTTTCAGTTACGTCGTAACTACTGATATGCTGATCTTGCTCCACTTTTTCAAAAATGGCATCCATTTTATCCGTAATAGGGCGACCAGAGCAAAGTGCATCTTTGACATCAAAATTTTCTGATTGAAAACGCGCAAACCAAATTTGTGCTACTCTGACAGACACTGCACTAGGTCCATAAACATCGCAAAAATTTTTGCGGCTTGCGTTGCATTTTAACCTTTTTTGTAGTAAAATTTTAAAATGTATCGAATTTCTTCATTAGATTCACTCATCTTGACAGTAAGAAAAATAAATAAAAATCACACATTTTCCTAATTTGTATTTGGAATTATCTTCTTTAAAATTTAAACTCTTTATGATAGATACTAAAACCAGCTAGATACAAATAATATAGCCAAAGACATTTTATTACAAGTTCATACATACTATAAGCGAAAAGATTTTTTCCCCAACCTATTATTACGGAATATTTCTTGTTATTCTAGGGAGAAGACTTTTTTTACAAATCTCGAATTCTCTCACTTTTAAGAACTCAGAGTCCAAAACTCTACATTGGAATTCTTTGACTTTTTTACTGTGGCATCTCTGGGCTCTGTTGAAAATTTGAAGGCAATTTAATTGACTAAATTTTGTACAGACTGTTAATTACTATTTGAATCATGTCTGCGGTTCAATTATTCATATTGCCCAGACGCTAGCATTTGTTTTACTTATGTGTACTGGCTCACTTACAGACTCTTTGTTCCATGAATTTGATTATGAAATGTATTGTTTTTTGTTTCAAAATTGGATTTTCTCATTCTACGGTACAATTAGTACCTACGCTTTTTATTATTACTCAGATGAGTGAGCGGGTTTTTGATTCACCTTTTGTTAATTGGTTACCAGAATCTATAGATATCAACAATTTGAATGCTGCCTCCTCTTTGAGTCATGAAATTTGTCTCATTTTAAGTATTCTCACGGCTTTAAAACCTCACCTTCCAAACAGAAACGTATTGTTGCTTCGCTGCATAAACAGACAGGGTGGTGGTACTCACCCGTACGGACTCACAAGACGCCCTAGCGCCAGTAATAACACAATTTTTTGGGCTTTATTTTATTGATGTCTTTTAGTGGAGCACGGGAGAGGTTACAGGATTTGGATTATTTCGAAATGAAACACCTGCTTGGGACGTTGAAGGTTACCTTACAGATGTTTATACTGAAGAAGCCAAATCTGGTGAGAATATTTTTATGTGCTGGTTACATGAAAGTGTGTTGTTGAGGGATCTGTGCATCGTGTTATTATTTGATCAGATAAAACAACTGCGCCCTGATAAGATAAATATTAAGTGATATAAATTGTGAGTTGTTGTGAAACATATTTAAAGATTTTCACAGTAAGGAGAATTGAATTTAGTTCATTTTAACTCCTGGAAGGTATATGCGCTACGTCGAAGGACCTTTTTATCATATAACATGCTATTTTTGTTTGGGTAAGGGTAAGGGTATCTTTGGGAAGCGATCTTTCATTAGTCTAAGTCTTTCACTTTACTTCTGTACATTTTAAAGAGCACATTGTCACGCGGAGCGTACGTAGCAACATTTTTCGCCGCCACCTTAAAATACTGTATTCATTCAATGTACATTTCTTGATTTGACATAATGTGGCTTTAGCGTTCTATGGAAATTTCTGAGAGCTGTGGATTGGTTATGGCGCCTATTTTGGCAAATATCCTACGACTTACAATCATTATTTATTTATTATCAGATGGACTCTATACTCGTCTGTCATACAAGACAAGGAATTGAAGTCAACACTGTTCATTTGTGTATTGATGTCTTCAGAAACAGCCTTATTTTTAGAATCCAAATTGTTACGAATTATGTATAGAGAGTTGATGAAGGTTGTGATTTTTTCAGTTATCAAACTTCATGATGTAAATAAGCCGCTATTTTTGATGTTAGCCCATAACGCGCCTCACGCTGCAAATTATCCTTCCATTGTACAAGCGCCACCCGAAGACGTTCGAAGTATGAAACACGTGGAATTAACGGGGCGACGAACTTATGCAGGTATTCATTCAATTATGGGTGTATTTTATAATATTTTATAATATGTAAACAATTAAATGATACAATTTTTTTAGCCATGGTAAAAAAGCTCGATGAAAGTGTAGGGGAAATAGTAGAGGCTTTGTATAAGAAACAGATGCTTGAAAATACAGTTATCGTGTTCATTGCTGACAATGGCGGTATGACCTCTGGGGTTGCTATGAACTTTGCATCTAATTGGCCTCTGAGAGGACTGAAAATGTCGCCATTCGAGGGAGGCGTACGTGCCACAGGACTTGTATGGAGTTCGAGTTTTAATAATTCAAACCACTTGTGGAATGGTTTTATCCACGTGACAGATTGGCTACCCATTTTTTTGAGAATAGCAGGCTCAGAAGTACCTCTTGATATTAATGGCGTAGATCTTTGGGATGACATAAACACAAAGGATAATTCCAGGCGTGATGAAATTTATGAAATTGACGACTACACCGGTTTTGCTGCTATTATATCTCAAGATTTCAAATTAGTTTCTGGACAAGTGACATTAGAATACAGCAATTATCAGGGAGAAAACCTCAGAGGGATGATAGGGGACCCACCATCTTATGCTGATTCTGTCCAGAAGAGCAAAACGTATCGTATTCTTAAAAATATTGGGAAACCTTTTAAAAAAGAGGATGTAAACCTACGTAGAAACATTAGAGTGAAATGTAATCAAGAAATAGATAAAATATGCTATCCCGATAAAAGTAAGTTTTGAATCTACCAAAAGCTTTACACTTCATTTGGATCCAATTAATTTTGTTTTTTTTTTGTTTTTTAGGTAAGTTTTGTTTGTATAATATTAAAGAAGATCCTTGCGAAACAAACGATCTGTCCGCGGCATATCCAGATATAGCGGAAAATATGTTGAGACGTTTACATATTGAAATATCTAAAACAATACCTAGAACAGTGCCCTTGTACAGAAATCCGGAATCTTTACCTCGTCTACACAACTTCACTTGGACTACATTTGCAGACAATTTCAAATAGTACTGTTTGAATATTTTTAATTGTTTATTTAAATATTTAAATAAAATTACTTAATATTGTTGGATTTGTCGTTTCATTGTCATCGACACCGATAGTAATTTTTATATTACAACGACTTATGAACAAACTAGTAACCGTGAAAACTTCTACTCGTGGTATACTTTTAGTGGCCACGGACGACTCGTGACAATGAAATCGAATTTCGACCAATGCGTTCATTACTTTAATCTTGTTACGTATAGTTTAATTATAAATAATACATTTAATTGTAAATTAGGCGAAATACTAGGTACAGTCTCGTGCTCGTGTTTCAAGAATGCTGAAATTGCAAACTTGAAGTGGTAGGTTCGAATAGATAAATCGGCATTAGGCACGTATCCCTTTGTCTTGAGTTTGTTCTGTACACGCCAAGAAATGTCTTCACGATTGTTCACGATTGGTATTCTGTTAAAGTAAGCGGCACGTAAGTTGGCAAGGTTTTGGTGTAGTGGGGGTAATGTCGCGCATAGTGCACATTGCAACAAAAAAATGGTCACTTTTATTGCCCGCATATAATTGATTTTCAATTTATTTAATTTTTTTTTTAGAAGAAAGTTAAGGAAAAGAGAGGAATTCGTGAAGTGTATCATGTGTTATAAATAAAAAAAAATTAAAAGTTAAGAAGCTTATTTAAAAAAATATACTTAGTATTAAAAATTATATGTCGCCGTACTATACTAAGGTTGGATATGTAGTTACAATTAAAAGATGCATTCGAAATTCATGTTCGTCTGCCAGCATGATATAATTAAACTGTATATATATACATGCTTAGATTATACTTACCTATTTGAAATCTCGTAAGTCATGTTGAAAGTTTTTTTTTTGTGCAATGAATAGAATAAAACTTTTATTTACAGTAGGATTAAAGGTCATGTTGTGATACACTTAATTATTCTTGTGGTTGAACAGCGAGCTTCGGAACCCAGTTGTTTAATTATTAATACACCGCAGGCGAAACCTTGCTTGAATTTACTTTATCTTCATTGTTGCCTTCCTACGCGCCATGCTACATTTGTAAAATTCAAAGCAATAGTTAAACGGATAGTTTGAGTATTCTGATCAGTAAGAGATACATTTTTCTTAATTTATGTAGAATTAAAAAAAATCTTAGTAAATCTTATTTTTTTATTTGGAATACAATTGTATCTTTAACCATCTTATAAATCCATTTTTATATCTCCTCTTGACATTTCTTTTTCAAGTGACATCTGACATTTACATAATGTAGTGTTGCTGCTACATGAATCATAAATATTCTATCACAATATTCAACTTTTGTTTGTGAAGCCATACAACATGGTTTTTTTTTACTTTAAATTATTTATGAACAAATGAATTTTTTTTTTTTTTTTTTACTTCAAACGAGAAGTGACGTTTATTACCAATTCACAGAAATTTCATTGCAAAAGGCCAAGACGCACGAGCTTCACTCCAATTACCATACAAAAAGTGTTTCTACTTAGCGATCTCTCGATTTTTCACGGTGGAGGTGCTTCAGGCTGACAGGTGAGGGATTGCACGAATTTACGAGCACAGATATTCTTCTTCGGGCTGGGGAAGTGGAATTCGGGAGCCTATTATGAACGCTTCGTTTGCTAACAAACGCTTGAAATCCGAGCCAAAATTCAATGTAAGCTAATAGTGGCAAATATTGGTGGTACGGCTTACTGTAAGTATACTGTACTGGCGCGGGTTGGTATTAACCTGCCTTTTACTGCCATAAAGCAATCGGGCAATCCCATTACATGATTTAGCATTACCGCTATACAATACAGCTGACATTTCGTGTGTCAAGGTGGGTGGCGACATTCACATTATTATATTCAAGGGTTCCGGTAACAACTCAATACCAGATGAGCCGCGAGCTTGTTCACTTTTCAACGAGATAGTAATAATATTTTGACCTTAGGTCACTGTATAATAATTCCAACATAACCGATCGATATTATACATTAATAGTGAAATACGGCAACACTCCTGTGTGATCATCGCCAAATGTCTAAAGCATATCCATTTGTTGAAACAACAACTGTAGCAAGTTCCAGTCAACTAGAGAAGTAATGTTTAAATGAAAAAGAATATACACCGTATAACGGAGCTTCTGAAGTCGTCGTGGCCTACGGAATCAGACGCCTGGTGCATTCTAATATATCTATAGTTCCAGCGATGAGATTGTGCCGGTGTTCGAATCCCGAAGGCAGGTACCAATTTTTCTGATGAAACACGTACTCATAAAATGTTAACCACTGACTTTCACTATGAAGAAATAACATCGTTTTGTTGTTGTTGTTGTAAATTGTACCAAAAACGTGCTCGAAAGGTGCAGAGAACATTACATAAGAGCTGTTAAATTCGGAACTTTTCGGAACAAAATCATTTAATGTAATTTATAATACACAAGCCAAACTAAACATAAAACAAAGTAATTTGAATATATTTATTTTAAAAACACGCGCTCAGTCTCTACTGAGCTCTACTCTACTTTAATTGGACCTGAAATCATATTTAAGTAGCTCTCTAGCTACTTAAGTTTGATTTCAGGTCCAATTAAAAAAACACCATAAATAAAGAAATGGCCTCCATATAAGTATCCTGTTTGCGTGAAGCTTAGTTTGTTGAACTCGGCAGATGACAGTGTAGTCTTATTAACAAGGGAATCTCATCAAGTTCTTATTACTTTGGAGTGCTCACAGGAAACAAGGGTACCTGTTAGATTAACAAAACTTTCGTCGTAAACCGGCGCTCCTCACTGTTTATTTATAGGACGGTAATATTTGACATTGTCTATGACCCAGTCAAATAATACATGTGTGTTGTTATTACATGGCCTTTTTCGAGATTGGTAACGTATCAATCATAGATTATACACTTAATATATTTGAGAGTATCAATGATATGAATGATATGTAGTATTCGGAGGAGTATATTTTAGACAGGTTGTCATTCTTGAACACTTATAAAAAAAAAGTGTTACGTTTTTTTACTCTACTTACAATTTTTTTGTATTTCTATTTTAACGTCTACCTTTCGTATAAGAAGCACCTTTGAAACCGCCTGGTCATGCAGTATTTTATGTAATATAATATTAGGGGTTAAAGTATGAAATTGCCGATTTGTACTGAACATTTTAAATTAGTTTTGTTTCATTTATCATATTTATTTAATCAAAATATCTACCATTATTATCTATACATCGCTACCATCTAATAGGAAGGTAATTTATGAATTTGACGAATGGTTTCTAATTGCAGTTCCTGCAGGAACCGTATGTTCCATGGGGAGTGCTCTGAGGAATTGTTCGAGATGATACCGGCATCTCGTTTTTACCATCGCACTGCCCGCCACCGGAGTAGAGTTCATCCATACTACCTGGACCCACTGCGGTCATCCACAGTGCGTTTCCAGAGATCTTTTTTGACACGTACCATCCGGCTATGGAATGAGCTCCCCTCCACGGTGTTTCCCGAGCGCTTTGACATGTCCTTCTTCAAACGAGGCTTGTGGAGAGTATTAAGCGGTAGGCAGCGGCTTGGCTCTGCCCCTGGCATTGCTGAAGTCCACGGTCCAGACGGTAACCACTCACCATCAGGTGGGCCGTATGCTCGTCTACCTACAAGGGCAATAAAAAAAAAAAAAAGAGTTAAAACGGTTTCTGGTGCTGTATTAGGTCTCGCGTTATCATTCAGCAATAATGGTCAAGATCGATTCATGAGTCGGGGCTGTCTCACTGCAAGTTTTGCTATCATTGTTCAGAGTTCGGTACAGTAGACATCTGTTGTTATTGCTTGACCAGATCGGAGAAAGCTATAGTGAAAATATTGGGAATATAACACCATGTTGAGACCACCAAACAGTTACCATTACCTTTTTATTGGTAAGCTTATTTTTAGGACATTGTTGCGACATTTGATCTGAGTCAACCATTGCATTTTTCGATTACGGTTATCGTAAAGAATCCACTTTTCATCACATGTCACAATTCGATCCAATATTCCTTTATTTCTGTATCGATTTAACAAGGCAACACAAGTTTCAAAACGCGTTTTTTTCTGCAGATCAGTCAAATCATGAGGCACCCATTTTTAAATTTTTTTTATTTTATTGATTTGACGAAATGAGTCAATATTGTTAATATAAGGTAACGTTAAATCATGCCACTAATTCCTGGGTAGTGGGCTCGGATCGGCTTCCACCAACTCTTGTATTTTCATAGTTCAATTTCATAGCTTACCCCTATTATTTGTCAATTTTATTAATGTATTAATTTATCAATAAAACCGGAGATTACCGAGATTGTAAACTGTGAAGTTGTTTCATATTATATCTACCTAGATCCACTAGTTGCTAACAGTGATGGTTCGAAGGACGAAATTAAATGCTGCAGAATCATAATACGATTGGCCGTGGACAGACTCTTAAAAGTACGTAAAGACCGCAATATCACCGGGACCACTAAAGTCCGACTAGTAAGGGCACTGGTGTTCCCCATCTTTTTGTATGGAGTTGAGACCTGAACTGTCAAAGAAAGAAAAAGAAGAACGATCGATGCACTAGGAATGTGGTGCTGGATAAGGGCGCTCCGTATGTATACCTTGGACTGAGTGTTGAATTGCTATATTACGCTAGGATTTAATAAGACACGTGTTCAGTTAAGTGTCTAAAGTATATTCGGATTACAACCTAAAGGGCTATCGACAGCCCGACAATCCCGAGACTGGCGTAGCTATCGCTAGCTATGAGCATATTTGTGGTCCCTACATGAGCATCACACTAACGCCTCGATCCTAAAGGAACTTAAAATCTCTCAAAGTTGTCGTCAACACTGTAATCCAGGATTCTTCGATATTTTGGACACGTATAGTGATTGCCAGCAGTCTATTGGGAATCTTGTTGTTCAGGGTAGGGTCAACGGCTAAAGACCTCGTGGACGAAGCCCCATGCGCTAGACTGATCAAGTAAAAAACCTTACCAAAACACCACTTAACCAGTGCGTGCCAAGCCTCAGTTTGCGAATTATGGAGAACAACTGTCAAGGCTCTAATAAAAAAAGGATTCCACATAACCACAACTCCTCTGCCAAGAGTAACCGACTATGATGATGATACAGCTTAACCTCGTGTTTTTACGAGTATTAAGATTATATAAATTTCAACTTATGAATATAGTCTCATTTATTCTTTCCATTTAATTAGTTTATATTAATCGATGCTGACCACGACATCTGTAAACTATTCGAATCGTTGAAAATAACAATAAAAGTACGCGAGGTTAAATTGTAAAAGCAGTTTTATTCAAGGTTTTAATTGTATTTTGTTTAAACATAACGCTATTGTTGGCGTTACAGGAACTAAACTACAAAGTGGTTTCTGTAATAAAAAAATATAAGTTTTAAGTTAGATTTAAACGTATTGCAAATCATGTACCATAAAACAGAGTGACATAAAGATAAAGATAAAGAAGCCTTTATTAACAACCTTAATTCATATTTAGGTACATTTTTTTTTTCATTTGACATCGTCTAAGATTTTTTTGCTTTCGCATAGGCCTCCCCCAAATCCTGCCATAAGTTCCGATCGTGGCATTTCTTCTTCCACGTAGAGCCTGCAACGGCTTTTATATCGCGTACCCACCTTTGGAACGGTCGTCCTTTTAATCTTTTCCCTCTCGAGGGTACCATTCAGTTACTAATTTAGCCCATTTTTCTGTTTTGCTTCTTATTAAATGACCTATCCATTTCCAATTAATTTTTTTGTTAATTTGTTTTTTGTTAATACTTTAAGAGACCAGTATCGCTTCCAAGCTACAGTCACTCTGTTTTGAATTTCTTTAGACATGTCGGTGTTAGGAGATATGACCTGGCCAAGGTATGTATATTCGTCTACATATTCAATGGAATTGTTGTTGATGTGTATGGGTATTTTTGAATGATTTGTCATCAGTTTGGTTTTAGTTAAATTGATTTGTACTCCCACTTTCTTACTTTCGTGTGTTAATTGACTGAGCATAATCTGTAGCTGTTTTGATTTATTTGAAATAATTATAAGATCGTCCGCAAATCGTAGATGGCTCAGCATGTTGCCGTTTATACTTATGCCATAATAATATCCAAATGAGAGATCTATTTCAATATTTATCGCGTCATTGGAAGCATAAAACTAGATTTGGTTTTCGCAAAGATCGCTTTTGTTTGGTGAATCGTGTGATTGTATTCTGACCGATTTCTAATTTTTGATAGATTTAAGAAAATCTTATCCCAAACATGGTTCGAAATATGTATATAGTTTAGATTAAAGTACAATCTCGAATCTACAATTTGATAAGCTAAAATCTTATTCTAATGTCGCGATATATCCTCTAGTGAAGTCTAGTGTATCTGTTCCGTCGTATCTGTGTACCCAGTTCACAACGGTCACAGTTGTGTGATTCAATACGCTGTGTGACATCTGGTATTCGAGTTATGATTTACGTACCCATTCCGGTAAATCGCACAATGCATACAATTCCGGTATTTACTCTGTTTGATTACCCTTAATTTCTAATAATGTTTTTGGACGGTCGCGTAAAATTTTCAATAAAGCTAAATCTTTTGCACCTCATTTGCAAACTAAGAAAATCTACGTTATCTACAATAATATACAATTGGAAAAAGTTTTTTTACCTAAGAAAACATCAATTAAAAATTTTTTTTTTTGAGCTAGCAGTGATCAACATAATTTTGACTACTGGTCGAAAATAAGTAATTTTAACATACCTAAAATAAATTAAAATCTATTTTCAATAAGCTCCAGCTCTAGAATTGGGCAGGTGTTTTTTTTTTTTTTTTTGAAAAATATGAAAATTCTCGGAATTAAATAAAAATAACAATTTTGTTTTCCCTTTGACGTATCCCCCGTCGGACGGATTCCTTTTGTTTGTTTTAAGTTTATTCTATATAAAAGTTTAGGTCTTTTATTTATCGATTGAGGCACTACGAAGTCTGCCGGGTCAGCTAGTAATAAATAATTACCTATTTTTGCTGAAAACTGATTTTGAAATAAGACAATTTAAAGTTGTTAGCAGTAAATGTGTTAACCCTGTAAAATGCCCCTATTTCCATTTACGACTTCTCGTAAATCTTATGACTTTTTGGGGTTGAATAAATTTTCGTTTATCCCTTATTTTGTAGCTTATACTGTTGACTTAGGATACGAATGAACGGTTCTGTGTAGTGTGGGTATACAAGTTGTCGGGTTGATATGATCGTCTTGTCTATTCCAACAGCAAACCAGTGATTTGGCTCTGAACAGAACTGTTCTTTGATCTTTAAATTTTTTTCCCCTCCCTAAGCGTTGATAAGCTAAGGGACATTCCAGCTCCATTTCCGCGTGTACGGGTGGGTGAGCTCACGGGCTCAACCTGAGAGAACTTGCCGACCCTAGCCATAGTAAGAGCAATGCTTCGCTGAATCTACTGCCGGATCGGAATATCGCTATCCCACTGAGAAGACCCTGCGAAGAACCGAGGTCACTGGGTTGTGTTTATGTCGTACTCCAAGAGTTCGTCGACAACGGTGAACGATATTTGGAGTGCCCAAAACTACCGTGAGTGGATTCGGAGGATTTTATGTGCCAATATTATGATATGCCCGTCTTATAACGAGGCCCACAGTAAGTACAAAATGTTCTACGTACGAGTAGTAGACAGGCATTTAAAATGTAACAAATAGTGGTTGGCAGTTTCTTTTTGTCGACAATATTAAACAATACTGGAATAGTAGTTTTCGACTAATGTTGAAGTAATGTTGAAGTGGCGGAGTAATGTTTGAAATACTAAAGTATTATTGTCGTTACCTTTATGCTTGAATGCGATGCGAATTATTATCGGGTGAGTCTTGAGTCCACCGACGCCAGGAAATGCGAAACAAAATCCTCGGACATAAAAATAACTGTTTTATTTTAAAGCAACAAACACACAATTAATAATAATAGTTCTACAAGTTCTAATAGTGTCGTTTAAATAGTGTTGTGTTCTTTAAATAACGTAAAACGAATCTAGAAAGTCTACAATATGTATTTTATAAACAATCTGATGCTTTTAATAAAATGTTAATTTGCACTTAAGCCCAGGCAGCGTTCATTAAGTTAAAGATAGTGTAGGACTGACGACACATCTGAAATAAATAAAAAGTTTAAACATTTAAATATCAAAATCACTTCCAAAGACAAAATCAGGCGGCGAACAAGATATTGTGATTCAAGGGTAATGGCTTCTAAATATAATACAAACGATACTAAGTTTTATATTTGTTATATTATATGTACTGTTTTACTAAGTGGTAGAGCGTCTTGTGAGCCCGCTTGGGTAGTTGCCATGAACCTGCCTATTTCTGGTGCGAAGCAGTAAAGTGTTCTGTTTGAAGGGCGACCTTCTTTATACGTATTGAGAGTACAATTGAGACTCAGACCTTATGCGGGTGGGTGGCGGCTTTTACGTTGTTATATCTGTGGGCTTCGATAACTTTTAATATCGGGTTAACTGTGAATACATTCAAACGTTAACATAATAAAAATAAATATAATTTTCAACAAAAAAAACACGCTTAAATAACAAATAGAAGTAAAATTTAATTATTTTTTAGTCTATTAATTACTCGTCAGGATATTAGAGCGAAGTTATAAAATTATTGTATTGTCATCGTTCCTACTCGTAATGCGTGTGCAAGTTTTTAAGATAATCGACAATTTACTTTGATCGGTCGTGAAGTCGGCGAAAATTGCGTTTAAAGATTCCGTTACATACAAACATGTATACATATATTATTTTTTCCTACCTAAACTGTTAGCCTTGCGAGGCTATGCGTAACCTAGCGAGTACGTGAGCTCACGGGGTTTTAGCCTAGGGGCGTTGCTAACACTAGCCCTAGCAAGAGCAGTGTTTTGTAGAATCTGAACACTAGATCGGAAACACGACCCACTGAAAAAATCAGGCGAGAAACTCAGTGGGCTGTGTCTATGGGGTAATTTACTCGCCAACAACGACGTTTCGACGACAACAGTGAGCGGTGCTTGAGTTACCTAAAAGCACCGTTAGTGGTTCGGGAAAAACCGAAATGACTTTTTTAGGGCGACGTCGACTGTTTACCATTCGGTCGGCAGGATCGGGTATGAAGTTTCCGGCAGCCACGGCAAGAGAGTTTTCGTGTCGTACCGCTTTCTCAAAGTAGCGCACTGATGCCGACGGAAAATACTTACTGATGGAGTCAAGCTCCGGGTCATCATTGAGATACACGTTTCTCATGAACCACATACATATCAAGCTAATAAAACCGTGTCAAAAGTATTAACCTCGGCAAATGTGTCGAGAGAAATGTTGGTAAATACGGTAGCTATACCGAGCGGTTCTGTGGCTCTGGTTAACATGAACAACAGCATTTGTCGAATATTTTTATCATTATGGTTTTCCCAACCGCATGAATATATGGCGAATCGAAAATTCTCACTCTGAAAGCATATTGTGATTATCGTTAATTATTTCTACAGCTCGGTAATTTCATTTCAATTAGCCGTTTTATTGAGATAAATACTCACCCTTTCCATAAGAAGATTGCTGTAATAGCATGGCATAAAAAAGTGAAGTATACATCCAAAAAAGAAGTATGTAAACTCTATATTAAATTCTCCCCGCCGCAGACTCTTAAACAAAGTAGTAACGTCAAGTATTATAGTAATTTTTACTCCATACTAATAATACTTAAGTACAATAATAATACAAAAATAATTTCAAAAAGAAAATTAGATAAATTATAAGGAGAAAAATATTTTATATATTTAGAAACAAATAGGTGACTTTTTAAGATATTTCAGAAATTTATTTGCAATAACAATTTTATTCGAATTTATGCACATTTTTTGATTGGTTAATTCATTTTGTGCTGATTCTTTATTTTTTATTAAATCACTATTCCTTAACAAATGCACAAAAAGGATATAGCATAAGGAACTCCGTTTCAACTGGGAGTGCAAGAGACACAGCTGGGCCTAAATTAATAGGCACAGGGACACTTCAGGATACAAGGTTGTTTTTTCTTTGAAAATCAATATTTATCAAATACTTTAAAAACGCTTTTGTGAAAAAAAACATAGTTATGTCATCGCAAAAACTATATATAAAATATCAGCTTACCTCTACAACTTGAAAAGCACTTAGTGGCATTGAGATTGTGGTAATTTTCATATTATATTCATATAAAATAGAAAAGTTGACCTTGATGAAATTCACAAAGCTGTAATAGAAAAATACTGAAATGAAAATGAAGCGATTAAATTCCGATTAATCGACAAATATCAACATACCCGTACAGCTCCTGCAGCTTGGATATTATCACTTTCAATTCCTTGGCAATAATTCTCGGGTTTTTTGTGTCCGAAAACAGTTTAGTGATTCTTAGGCTAAGTAAATCAAGTTGTCCACAAGCATGTAACACGAAGATAGGCACTAGAGGATCAAATGCCACAAACAAACTTGAAGCATAACAACCAAATAAAAAAAACACGACAAATAGAATAAAGTAAACAGGAAACGAAGTTTTGTAACTTTCTATAGGTTCTGGGTATGTCATGTCAAACATTGGCTCTAGCCGAAATTCGTTTTTGATAAAGAATCGGTAACCCATAATAATAAAAGCCTTTAGGGGAAAACAAAATGTTATTGCAAATGCTGTGAACAACCAGAATTTGCTCACAATGACTCCCTTTTTAGCATAATTTAGCACTGTAGCCTTTTCCTGAGGTGTTAAGCCTTTTGCGATTTCGTAATCCATGTCAATTTTTGCAAAGAGACGGTTGAGAGATTTTTGTAAATAAAGCAAAAGACTGTATTTAAAAGTGGTTGTAAATGACAGCATAGCTATAGTTCCATTCTTGCTTGCTTCCATGTATTTACCAAATTTTAAATCGTGGAATAATAAGGACGTGATTAGTCCAGTAGCACAAAATGCCGTAAGCGTCATTAGTGATATGAACTGGAGTAGCCAAATTTTATTTCGTTTGATAGATGGATGCGAACGATTCATATGCAATGACATAGTGGTAGGTCTGAAAAGTACTTCGAATTTCAAATTGGAAACCGACATTTCAACATGTGCTCATTGACATTAGAAGTGATCGACTGTTCGAGAAATCTGTGTTTCAATATTTTCCAAGCCTATAATTTCTTCAATCGCACAAGGATATTGATTATATTCATGGGGAAATGTAACTGACAAAATGATTGTGCTAATATAACTTTAATGTTAACTTCAGCGATGAAGGAACATCATGTAATAAATGCCAATGAAACAAAAACTACCTAGTCAGGTCATAAATTCTGTCACATGTTTAATGTAAAATAATTGAAACAAGTTTATTCATTATGTAACCATTCATATACCAAAATGAACTTCACAAAACATAGATTCTTATGACACTAAAGTTTATCCAAAATGACCTCCGTGATTTTGAATACAGGCCTTCAATCTGCGCGGCCAGTCGTCTATCGCAGCACGAACGAGGTCCGTGTCAATATCGGCGGCTGCCTTAATCAAGGATGTCTTGAGTGACTCCAAATTGGGATGAGGCTTTGAGCACGCCTTTTCCTCCAAGTGTTGCCATATCTTGTAATCTAACGGATTCAAATCTGGACTGGAGGAGGGCCAGTCTTCGTGCCGGATGAAGTCGATTTCACGCGCCGCCAGCCAGTCTTGTGTGCTCTTCGCTCTATGAGCTGGCGCCGAATCTTGTTGGAATACCCAGTGCCTGTTATTGAACATGGTATGAGAAACAGGTTCCACAAGGTTCGTCAGGACTGTATTTTGATACACAACTGCATTCGTTTTTACACCTTTCTCACAAAAATGTACCTCTGTTAAGCCCCAATAAGAAACTCCCAACCATACCATGAGCGAGGATGGAAAATGACCTCGTTGGACACGCGGAATACGGTTGCTCGCTTCTTCACTACTGTGTGCGTACACCTTATCATTTTGTTTGTTGTAGCTCTCTTCTACGGTAAAAATTTTTTCATCCGAAAAAAGAATTTCCCGATATTTTTTTCCCGCGTACCGCTTCAACAAAGCGCGGCATCTCTTCAGTCTCAGGTCCATTAGACGAGCATTCAAACGATGTCCTGTTTTTCTTCGATATGCCCGAAGCCCTAAGTCTTCATTTAACACCCTTTTCACCGTGGTTCTGCTTAACCCCATCTGAAGGGCCAACAGTTTCTGCTTACGTTTGGGATTTCTTTGAATTCGCGCCTTCACAGCTTTTATCACTGCTGGAGTCCTAACAGACCGAGGGCGACCACTTCTTGACCTGTCATCTACACTAGAGTCTTCATTGTATCGTTTGATGGTACGATAAACGAATCTTTTGGTTATATTCAAATTTTTCAGTATGTTAAAAATTTGAATTGGCGCGTAACCGCAACGATGCAACGCAATAACTGCAACACGGTCTTCTTTAAGCGTCCACTCCATATTTAAAAATGAGTAAAATTCTAAAAGTATACATTTTTATTTTCATGAACAATTCGAAATTCGAATTCAATAAACTTTTTTGTGGCCAGCATTCTAAAAGAAAAGTTTTTACTGTGTGACAATACTTATGACCTGACTAGTTATAAATTGTATTTGTAATTACTGTTAACAGGCTGTTTTACACGCACGGATAAATACCGTCATCGTACCTTTTATCCATACTAATAAATAAAAAAACTTTTTTTTTTATTGCCTTTCTAGGCAGACGAGCATACGGTCCACCTGATGGTGAGTGGTTACCGTCGCCCATGAACTTCAGAAATGCCAGGGGCAGAGCCAAGCCGCTGCCTACCGTCTAATACTCTCCACAAGCCTCGTTTGAAGAAGGACATGTCATAGCGCTCGGGAAGCACTGTGGAGGGGAGTTCATTCCATAGCCGGATGGCACGTGGTAAAAAAGATATCTGGAAACGCACTGTGGATGGAAACTTAAAAAAATTATAACAATAATTTAGTGTAAGAACATCGTTGCATATAGTGATGTAAAAATTCCTATCTAAAGTAATGGAGGCAGACCTTATTGTGAGTTCGCGCGAGTTGGTACTATCGCCCTGCTAATTTCGGTCACAAAGCCGTTATTCATATCAGTTTCTTAGATTTCGGCTGTGTTTCTCAAACATGAATTGTAGACATATTATTGCAGGGTTGCAGTGTCGCATATGTACAAAAACAATAAAATTGTAATTTATTTTTGTAACTTGACCATCTTTTATAACACAATATGAGAACCAATAAATTATTCTGTCAATCCCTCGACTCTCTAGATTTCAATTACAGCGAAGACAGAATGTGCTTCATTCCGTAATAATTAATTCAAGTAGTAATCATAACATATCCGTGTACGTGAAGGCATAATAACACAAGAGAGGCACGAGCACGAGTGACAGGTATTGGGTACTTACATCGAGTATCCTTACAATTAGGGTTGAAATACACCACATTGAAATTTCTGAGGCTTTGTATGTATTTTAATACATATAAGCCTAAATAAATCATCAAGGCCCTGGATACCACGTCATTATCCCCGTTCACATTGAGACATTAAATCTAAATCTTCTGACCATCCCCTGGCATTCAGATCTGAACTTAAAATGCTTTGTTAGAAATTTACTAGTAGTGTGAATTCTAATATCCCACCACTATCACATTGAGTATAAAACTAAGGAGATTACGAATTTTAGTAAAGAATAAGAAAGATTCTTAACTATTAGTAACTGTCTACTAATAGTTTGTCTGTCTGACTAACTGTCTTCTAATCGGACTAAACAGTCGGACAAATTATTTTGTAAATGATTCTCTGACCTCATTTCTGTAGATCCTCACCGAATTGTTATTCTCAAATTTTGGAGGATGTATTGAAAGTCGCTACGGGTAAGTATTACCACCCTTGTCTGATTCTGGTGTGCGGTAATTGTTTGTTCCGGCTTGAAGCGGAAGACAGCTGTTACTACAATGCAATTTAGATTCCGAGTTCGTGTCTGAAGGTGGGTAGCGGTTTTCACACTGTTATGTCTTCGTGTTCACTTAAGGGCTTCGACAATCAATGAGCACGTGGCGAATCGTGACCTCGCTCCTTATGTACATCATTAAAAATTATTGTGGTATATATAAACAATCTCTTTTCAATTTGACTGATGTTCCATTGTTTATTTATCTTTTATTTTTTATTACTAATATTTCATCATGACCATATGCGACAATTAGTACTTTTAGAATTTACTGTCAATACTAGTTGTCGTTGTCGTAAACAAGATAAGTTTCGATTTTTTTTTATCTAATGATACAGGGAATACTATTGATACAGGAATTGGCTTAGAGAAGATTTATAGACCAAATACTTGTAATTAGATGTACATTTATTCTTCTTCTTATACTTCTTCTCGGCCGTTCCCTTATTGTTGAGGATCATGACTCTTCTGTACTCTCCTCACTGTTTCTCTAAACCTATTTCTGTCTTTTGTCTAGTAAAGAGCTTTGTTGACTAGCATTTCTAGCTGCTGAGTCATCTATATAGTGAGAAAACTGCTTTGAGCTTCGGCCTTTAGGCCTTTTGTCTTGTGTATTAGCGGCAACATTTATACATGACACGCTGTTATTAGGCCTGTGAAAGGATTAAATTAATATTAAATTTGCATTTACAGAACGTTTATGCAACGTATTTGATTAAATAAGGACTTACGATTTAATAAGGTCCTGCGAAGCTTGCGGCTCGTTGTGTATTCTGCGAAAGTTAACGAAATGAAGGGTCGCGTCGCCTTTAAGTCTTAGAAAAAGGTTCGTGCACATCGCGAATAATTAACTTGGTTTAATCAATTAGGCTATGACGTTTTTTTTTCTTATAGAAAATTAGTTTTTAAATTGGCGAACAAGTAATATTGTTTGCGGCAATGTGGTTTATAGAATCAAAAATAATAATTTTCCTTTTTCTTGATAACACAAATTAGCTTTACGGTTCATAATTGTGGAGACGTATTAATGTTCATGCTAATGGTACAAATAAATATAAAAATAAACAACTAAACCCAATTTAACTAACTATTCCTATGTCATCTCTTGCATTATATTCACAAGAGAAATGCTACTTATTAATCAATCCTAATGTTAACCAAAAAACCAATCGAAATGCATATTATTTACTAATTGGTTTTAAATGTAATGGAATTTGAGATTTCTCTATTATATTATACATAGAATGACCCCATCGAGCAATAGTCAATTTATAGAGATTAGATTAATCTTACAATAAGGATAAATTAACACGAATCAGTGGATATTAAGTTAGAAGAAGCTATTGCCATAATCCGGAGTGCCAATAAGACGTGATCAGGGAGAATTTGTATTTCAATGTATATTTTTGATAAAATAAACTGTTGATTGTTGATTGAAGATTTGTGTTGATAATGAGGAACCAATGAAGGTTGTTAACTTTGATACAGTTAAAACATTGCAATGTACTCAGTTACAAATCCGTGCTTAAGCAGATATGTTGAACACAAACCGTGACAACATATCCAAGTCCATTTAGGCCACCCCAAAGATGTTCCACTTTATTTTGGTTCATCTGTATTCCGACCGTGATACTGAAGATCCCTTGCTGTGTTGAATACAGTATTTTGAATCTCGACCTCCCCTCACAGTTCTCCTAAAATAACTCACCAACAACAAAGGTATAATCCGACATGTACAAAGAACTACGAACAATAAAATAGCCTTTAGAAAAGTTTGAGATTTCATTTGTTAAATCTGTAAGTGTATTTATTGTTCGATTGTCGAAAGAAATGTTAACGTCGAAAGAAATTAATTTGAAATTCAGTATTTATTTATGCATTGGGAACTAAAAAATTAAAGTTACTAAGTAGAATGATAATATTATTTTTCCAGTAAACAAAATTTACTGTGATATTTCCGTAGATAGGGCAAAAAATATTCTGCATATAGTAATTTGTTCAAAGTTCACTATTAAAACATCGTTATTAATATTTGTATATTTAATATAGACTCTGAGAATGAGAATCTGAGAATCTGAATCTCGGAAACGGCTCCAACGATTTTCATAAAATTTAGTATACAGGGGATTTCGGGGGCGATAAATC